GGCACTCACATACACACACACACACAGCGAGACACTGTGACATTCGATAGCGCATCATCGCTCCTCCATTTGGCCTGTGATTGAACTGTGCGCCCTCTAAGTGATTCGATCTCCAGCTAATTCACAAACAATCCACAGCAAAAGCCACAAGCATCTTATGACAATCAATTGCCATAGGCAGGATTACATTGTGCATTTGCCGCAATTCAATCGAGCTGCTGCCTAACGAGACCATGCATATCGTCTATTGAGCTGAAAGATGAAAAATATGACTTGCTTTAAAACTGGCTTCAATTCATATCGAATCAGCTCAGCGGGGAAAATGTAGCTGCAAAGTACAGTTAAAATGGTGTGAGTGCACTTGGAATATTTTCTATATACTAATTGGTTCTTGATCGGGCCCCCTGAACCACTTTGAGGTCAATTTGGAACCAGTTCATGAGCAAAATATGTCGTAATGGCTCTATTTACCACAATTTGAGTCACTTATGAACTAGTTCACAGTTAAAAATAATCATACAAGCTGGATGCACAGCGACTTTAACCAATGCTGAGCTAGATCAGGTTAAAAAATAATCAATTTAGTTCCATTTACAACAATTCGAAGCACTTCACAAAAATTCATAATGCCAGTCAAGCTTAGATCAAACAAAAGCATATATTAGCCTAAGTAATATTTCAATTAAGAAGTACGAGTCACATTTGAACCAGTTCATATAGTGTAGTTGAATTAGTTCCAGGAACCTCCTGAGTAAGTAATGTGATTTGGAATGCATTCATAATGCATTCAATTATTCAGTAGTTCTTCGCAATGCGCCAACCACGAAATCAACGTGGATGCCAACAGCGAATAGGTTTCAATGGAGACACACACACACACACTCACACACACGAAAAGATATACAGTGAGAGAAACGACAGACAGAGTCATTTATAAAATTTCAAACAGAACGTGTTAAATGGCGTCAATATTAAAAGTTCAAATATGACGCTGACGAGCTGAAGTAAAACGTTCGACATGGATGGGACGTAGTGAGGGGGGGCGAGGTGGGTTGGATTGTGGACCTACAGATTGCTGATGACGATGTCGATGATGATGATAATGATAATGATGATGATGCTGCTGATGGGCACGATGAGAGCGCAGACATAGACAGCGAGAGCGAGAATCAACAAACGTGGAAGCTATTATCGTAGTCGCAACATGACACACACACATGCACATGCATGTATGTATATATGTATATTTATATATATGTATGTGGCATATGCTGCTGCTCATCATCTTTTGGCGTTAGCAAGTGCTTCCACGACGGCTTCCAACTTCCAACTTCTAATGGCGGCATTATGCAGCCACCCGTGCCACCGTGTCTGTCTCACACACTCACACACACACACACACGCAAGGCAGGGCCAAAATGAAAATGAAACTGTTGCAAAATCCCATAAAACGGCCAAAAAGCTTTTGTAAATGACGCCAACAGCTGTCGATGGCGAAAGGCAGACAACACAAGAACACCCACCCACACACACGCCCACCCAAACACACACACACACACACATGAACACCTATTAGTCATGTATGTGTGTGTGTGAGTGTGTGTGTCCTGCGTTTTGGCGCGTTTTAATAAAGCGACAATGACATTTTATGAATTTTCCACTTTGTTCTTGTGCTTAGCATTCGCATTCGCCGCGCACAGCCACGCCCACCCGACAGCAGCCAGCCTCCAGCAGGCACCAGCCACCAGCCAGTCGCCCCCATTCACACAACCTGCGCTCTGCTGGGCAGGACAACAAGCGTCGTCCATTGTTTGTCTGTTTGCTTAGAGCCGCAGCGTCGCTCACTTTGCTTCCAGCCAGGAATTCAGTTTCGCCCGTGGCTTCAAATGAATTGTCATTATCTCTCTTCCCCTCCTACATATCTCTCTCTCTCTCTGTGTGTGTGTGTGTGTGTGCGCTGCACAAAGGCGTGTTTCAGTCGTCTTTGATATCCGATTTCATTTATAATTAGCTGCAAAGTTTACGGTTGCCATACCTTTGCTTGCGGTTGCCTCGGCTGGGTCAAATAATTTAGTGTCATCCAAGGGGATGTTAAAGCTCGCCCCCCCTCCCACAGCTCTCAGCTCCCCTCGCCCAGCAGCCACTTGCTGGCACTTCACACAGACAGCAGTCTCAGAAAATGGGCAAATATAGCAATTGCTTCGTGTCCAAATATATAAAAATATGCAAGCCAATCAATCTTTACTGCCCAACTATTATTTGAGCTCCACTTCTGCCCTCAGCTCAGTCGCATAGCGAGAGCCTTTTCAATTAAATTTAAATAAAAATGTATGCTTTAATTGCAATAAATCTAATGAGGACATATGATTTGATTTTGAATACCTGTATGATCTATGAAATGAGATTTTGTCGTGCTTAATTTGGTTAAGACAGACAGGAGTATAACTTAATTGTACGACTCCTGCCGTCTCAGATCCTTCTATATGGTGTGAAATATATTTAGCAGCTCAGTTAAGCTCCATAAAATCTTATGCACTATAAGCATTTGTCATTAACATTATCAATAGTACCCATTTATGAATAATTAGTTACAATATCTTTCATAAATGGGTTCTATTAAGCTTAAATTGCTTCACTCCACTTCTGACATGTTTTAAGGACACAAACAAAAAATAAAAATAAAATAAAATCTTAACGAATTTGAAATTTAAGTTTTTGATATATGAGTGAATATGACTTATTATCTGCATATATTTTGCTTAAAATTAAAAATATTATTATTATTATTATTATTTTTTTTTTTTTTTTTTTTTTAATATATTAGAATTTGGAAATACTTGACTTGAAAGAGTTATTCTGGCTGACTTTATATACTCCATATCCACATCCATGTACATACTTGCCTAATTGAGTAAATATTTCATGATGATGTTTTGGATTATTGGATAAGTTTTCCATATATATTATTTCCATATTCTTTGTCCAGGTCTGACAAACTTTCGACTCTATCAATAGAGAGTTATGCATAGCTTAAGATTAATTCTACAACTACATTCCTCTATTCTGCCTGAATTTCGACTTAGAGTAAAGCTCACTTTTCGCTGTTATTAAAAGCCATTTCAGTTTCAGATATTTTTATCTGGAATCGTTCCATCGAATTGCGCCAAGTGGAAAGTAAAATGCGCGCTTCGGTTGCCTAAATTAACAGTTAATTACGTGCGAGTGCCAAATGCCAAACAATTTCACACACACATAAATATATAAGTATATATGTATATGTATATAAAGTGTGGTCCAACACGTAGCTGCTGATTCGAAAGGACGCAAAAAACGTCAAACATTATTTGAATACAAAATGTCCTTGAAAAGGGTAAATCCAGTTGCGCCCAAGTGACAAAAGTGAGAAATTAGTCGATGTGGCCGACACTAAAAGCGTTCGAGGCTGAGTGAGTAGGGCGACCGCAACCCTTGTCCCGGCCCTGGACTGGGGCTCGCAGCCCTAGGTGTTGCTGCTGCTATCGCAATAATTTTGTTGTTTAGCAAGAAAAGAAAAAAAAAAAGAGAGAAAGAGAGAAAAAAAGTATAGAATCTGAAAAGAAACTGGCAGAGCAATAGGGATCTAAGGCTGTCAAGTGCTGAGCACCAGGCTGGGGTTAGCGCAATTAAAATTCAAAGAGCAAAATGCATTTGCCACGCTCACGCACAGACAGGCTGCTGCCTGCCCGGGTTGCCTGCCGAGTGTTGATGTCCACGATTCAGATTTTCTAGCTGGGTTTTGTAATTCAAATTGTATAAGAAGACAGCAGCTATACAAATATATACATATCTATTTATATATATATAAATGTATATGTATGTGTATGTGTGTGTGTGTGTTTGTGGAAGTTTTTATGCCCTGTGCATAATTACTTGCTAAATTGTGCGACACAAATAACGAGGCATTAGAGTTGGCTTGGCAAAAACCTGCAGCTAACAGTTGCAAGGACTAGACTTTTACATAAACACAAACACACACACATACACATACACACACATACTCACACATACACACACATGCATTTCTTGTGGCTTTCGTTTCACATTTCTTATTGCTCATTTGCTGCTGCACTGCATCTTATCGGCTAGCAAATTAACGCCCTAAACACACGCCCCCTCTCACTCTCTCTCTCTCACTCTCTCTTTCTCCATCTCTTTGGAATTTGCATTCGGCACATGTGAGCTTGCAGCAGAGGCAGCTTCTGCTTTGATTTGCCCATTGTTTTTATCCCCTGGCTTTAGCTTCAGATATGCAGCCTTAATTGCTGCTGCAGCAATATCAAACACATTCCCCATCAATTATTTTCAGAGCAATTTAAAGCCAACATTTTTGCACAGTAACTGTATCTACATATACATGTATATATGTACGACTTAGTTGTTGACGTTCAGGTGAATTCCTCCAGCTGCTGAGGTGTCTTCGGTGTGTATTATGATGACTTCATAATTATTGGAATCATGAGCTTATGACTTGGCGGAACTTGTCATTAAACAGTAATTCTAGTTCTCTATGTAAATCAAATCTATCAAATGAAATATTTGGAGTAGAGCTGCAGTAAGTAAAGCCACGGAAGCTTAGTCGGAGGCGTGAGGGATCACAGCGATACGGAATTCCGCTGCTGACTTTGACTCTTTGCTGTCTCAGTGCTGCTACCCAGTGGCGACGACCTGAATGAGGTCTGTTGAAATAATGCATTACATACGACAAAAAAGTAATGCATTACCTATGAACATTTTTTTCAGCGCATTTGTAATGTACAAAATAAAAAGTGCTACTCATACGACAGAATCGAGCTCTTGTCAACTTCGTTTCTGTATGCCCCTTCCCCGCTAACCAACAAACGATTTTCGTCTTTCGTTGCGTCGCGACGAAATCGCCGAATTTCGTTTTGGACTTTACCGTTTTTTGCATGGAATGCGTGCCTTCTTTCGTTTGGTTTTTTTGTCTATGCCTATTCCTTTTGTGTGTATAGTGTTAATGAGTGTAAATACAAGTTCAAAAATGCATATGTGTGATGATTTCTGTTTTCGTTTTACCCGCCGCGGCGCGTCACTTTTCTGCTATTGTTGAGCCGTGCGGACGTAAATTTAAAGGGAAGTATCTGGTATGTATACATCATCTTACATGTATTTTTAATGACAAAAAAATTAATATTGTTTAATTTACAGATGCTGTAAAAACCGAAGGGTCCACTAAGAAGACCTATATAAGTACAATAAGAAACTGCTTTCGGGTCCAGAAAGGTCGACTGGCAAAGCAGAAGTTCGATAATAAGGACAAACTAGATAATAAGACATAGCTTTAGATTTAGATGTAGATAGATATAATAAAATAGTAATAATACATAGTTTAAGACTATACATTTATTTATAGATATTAAGAAATAATAAATAATAATTTTTAAAAATTAAAACAAAAAATACTGCATTACTCAAGCGTTTCTATCTTTCAATTAGTAATCAATTATTTCTCCAATTACATTGCATTAAGAAGTAAGCCATTTTATATAGTGGGAAAATGGGTTGCAGGTATATTGTGTTGTAATGTACGCACATTACTAACCCATAAGCGATTTTGAAAATGTATAAGGCGTTTTCTTCAGGTTGCGGAATTTCTACATTACAATATTTAAAAAGTATACGCATGGGTAATGGAGAGCCGAAGGAAACTTCGTCACCTCATTACTTTCTGCATTACAAAATTCAATAATTTCATGCACCCGGGAGAAAAAGCGGCCATTCCTTAAAAAAGTAAGGCAGCTTGTAATCGATCTTTTCATGCACACAGGCGACAAGTAATCCATGAGTAATGGACAAAATAATGGGCATTTCCGCCACTGGGTAAATACTCGGAGTCAAACGGTTGCCTCTTATCTTAACTTGAATTTATATAGTATGTGAAAGTTTGCTGGAATGCAAAAGCAATTTACAAAGTTCTCTCCCAGGTATAGGAATACAATGGAGTTACAATAACGTCTGGCCGCCATTTCCAGGATTTAGTTCAACTTTTCAGCTGTCTTTATTCAGTATGGAGCGTAAGCTCAGTAGAATCCGGTTAGAACCACGCTCAAGCTGTATAAGTTCAACTGTATATATCATTTTAAATATATGAAAGTGAATATTAAAAGGACTTACTAATTCAAATCCAAAACTCGTATATTTATGGGGACACATTTCTGCCTGATATCGATGAATCTGCAGTTGGATAATTAGTCAACAATCACGCAAAGAAATTACCTTTATAGGTAAACAACTCCTGCCAGCTGTCATAGCGATTGCTATGCTAAGCAACATTGGAATATTAAAAGCCAATTCGATTGTCATTCACTGCGATTGCTGCGCAGTTATCGATAGCCGCCCCGGGGTGGGCAATATATGTACATATTTTGAAATGTAAATACAACAGTTAAGTGAGCTTGCTAACTTATTAATATGCCACTTTAGGTGCGTCTCTCGCACGCCCTCTCGCTCTGTCGCCCCCTCTGGCAGACAACAATCGAGTTAGAAGATGAAATTCCAGCTGGGCAGCAGCACCGAAAATAATGAACTCCCAAATGAAGTGAAACAAAAAGAAGCACACAATATTAATTATTCATATTTCATTAGTGAACGCCGACGCCCCCGAGTGGAGCGGGTGGAGCGGGTGGAGCGACTGTAGCTCTCGTCAAGGGTTTGCCGGGCGGAGTCAAGGAAAGGCGTGTGCCATATAAAATTTATAAAAATCAAAGTAATGTAGCGCTTGCCAGCGAGCAGGACTTTTGCATGAGACAGAGAGAGAGAGAGAGTGCGAGAGAGCATGCCAGAGAGAGATAGAGAGCGTGGGTGTAGTCTACCTGGCTGCTGCTTTGGCAGGCATCATCATTTGTCTTGGCGTTTTGGGAGTCGCGGCAGTCGCATTGATGAATGAAGTGCGTACACATTGCCTCTGAAAAGGCCAAAAGGCCAGGCGACATTAAAAATGCACACGCAATCAGAAAATGTTTCCCTGCCCCAGACGCCAGTTGCCAGTTGCCAGTTGCCAGTTAGAGGTGGCAGCAGCAGCAGCAGCAATCCCGTTGATGGATCAACACCGAACAGATAAGACAGCCTTTGGTTGGGGTAATGAGCCAGTTGAAGTGGGCCAAAGCACGGCCCATCAACTTTTCACCTCTTTCATACACACACAGAGCTTTTCTTGTACTCCTTCTTGTTCCTCAGCTTCATCGTCTTTCTTTTTTTGTAAGCCTTTGAGCTGGGCCTTTGCCTGGCTGCTCTGTCGCCCTGTCGTCGTTTATAATTTGTTTGGGCTTTCAGCGGCCGTCCAAAGCAATTACCGTGCTCAAGGTGCACTTGCTCACACTCACTGCCCTATTTCCCTCTCTCTCTCCCTCTCTCTCTCTCTCTCTCTCTCTCTCTCTCTCTCTCTCTGTCTGGAAAACTACGCAGTGAACAATTCGGCTTGACTTGAGGCGAACATTTGACCGTGCCGCGTCCCATCATCTTATCGGGTTCACTTACTGGGTCAACTTTCTGCCGACATCCCTGCTGGCCGCCCCTCCCCCTCTCTGACTCCTCACTGCCCACTCACTGTGATTTATTATGCCTGTGCGCCTGCTTTTGCTGCTGTTGAGGCTATTTTCTTTGGCACGTTCACGCTGAGAAAACAGTCGCCTCCACGCATGGCAGCCTCCTGTCATATGTATATGTATGTAAGTGCGTGTGTGTGTGTGTGTGTGTGTGCGTGTGTGTGTGTTGTTGCGTGTTGACCCGTTCGACACCCATTAATATGCAGTGATTCGCATTGCTGATGTACTCAGCCGAAGCTTTTCATGCCACGATAAATTTTATTAAGCAATTTGCTTTCCATACGTAAAAGTCTCCCTTGGCTTAATTTCAGGTGCAGGTGCATTTACTTTCGCGTTGCTCAAATCAACAGCTTTTGTGTTATCGAGCACTGATAACATTCTGGTTCAATTTGGCTGCAGAATTCAAACGCTTTCGATAGGTGTGCAATTTAGTTGCTCCATTGGCTGCAAAACTATCGATTAATGTATTGTAGTATCGATAAGAACTTTTCTTTGCTGCAGTGGTGAAGCAAAGCTATTCGCTTAACCTATGCATGGCTGTGATCATTCCATCTCGCTTTATCTAACCACATGCGCATTTTTCTCTCTTCTACTTTGCATGCAAAGTCGATAATATCGATAGTAAGTGCATATCGATTGTGCTTCAACTGTTTTGGTGGTTTCGGTAGTTTTACCATATGAACAATTGCTAAAGACCAATATATATCGATAAGCCTCAATATCAATGTTACCGATAGTTATTAGTTATTCGCAATTATTGATGTGATAAATTTAATATTGGTCAAATACTTTTAATGCTATATATAAAGTAATTAAAACAGAAACATTAAAACGCCATGCAAATTCTATTTGAGCCACTCTCACTTCAACTTGAGCTCAACGCTCAGATGTTTAAGTATCGTGTATTTTATTTTGATTGCTTGCTATCGATATAGTCGATGAGAGTACATATTCATTTCAATTACAAGGGATTACATATTCATTTAAAATTATTTTTAGTATTGAGATTATTAATTATTTGATTTACTTATTTGATTCTTCTGAATCGGAGCTGCTGGTCGATGTATCGGATAGATTCAATTCTGGCAAATCTGGTATAGTAGTGTCTTCAGTAAGCACCTCGTATTCCACACGCACTGCTTCGTTATCCATGCGCAAAAGGGCTTTGAGCTCGCGCACCAATTCTGGCTCCGGCGGATCAACTGTCTTAGATCTCATAGCGTTCTTGATGCGACGCCTGCGCACATGACGAAAGGGTGGACAGAGGCCATGGGGCCACAGGTATTTATCGTCCACTCTCACGATTTCATTAGTATTCTCTTCTTCTGGTGACTTTGGTCTTTCTATTCCAAAAAAGCTTGGTCCAAAGCTGCCTGCTTCAGTCGACGTCTCCAAACCACTAGGCGACCACCATCCAAGTGGGGCCATCATATCAAACGGAGTTTGCATTCCAACAGGCGACCACATTTCGTCCGGAGTCCACATTTCGCCCGGCGGCATCATTTCATTCGGATTAAACATATCGTTCGGAGTAAACATTTGGTTCGGCGCCCACATTCCGATCGGCGTCGACATATCGAACGGAGCATTCATTCCGCTAAGCGGCGGCTTATTGACTGGCGTCTGCATTCCAATCGGAGTCGGCATTTGCTTTCCGTCCGGCGTACGCTTCTTATCGGACTTGTCCTTGTCATCCGCCTTTTGCTCCTTACCCGGCTGTTGGTTTCCACCCGACTGCTGCTCCTTACCCGACGATTTCTGTTGATTCTCAGACTTGTTCTTCTTATCGGGCTTCTGGTTTTCCCCCGACTTCGGCTCCTTACCTTTTTTATCCATCTTCTGTTTCTTAATCGGCGTTTGCTCTACGTCCGATGACTGCGGTGAACCCGGCATCTGCATTCCGATCGGTGTCTGCATTCCACGCGGCATCGGCTCCTGATTCATAGCCGGTGTCGGTTTTTCGAGTGCCTTCCTTCCGAGAGGAAAAAAGCGACTGATACTCGGCGGCTCATCAGCCGGCGGCTTATTTCCAAAAGGAATCGGCATTTCGAGCGGCTTTTGCTGAGTGCCCGGCATCTGCTTTCCAATCGGGGACTGCTTTCCGATCGGGGACTGCTTTCCGATCGGGGACTGCTTTCCGAGCGCCTTCTTTCCGAGAGGGAAAAAGCGACTGATGCTCGGCGGCTCATCAGCCGGCGGCTGCATTCCAACAGGAGTCGGCATTTCGAGCGGCTTTTGCTGAGTGCCCGGCTTCGGCTGCATTCCGAGCACATTCTTCCTTCCGAGAGGAAAGAAGCAAGTGATACCCTGCTTCTGCATTTCAACCGGAATCTGCTGTCCGGCCGGCTGGGTCGTCGGATTCTTGCGCGGTCTCCCACGCTTCTTGGGTACGTTTTCATTCTGCATTCCAACCGGAGTCGGCATTACGATCGGCATCTGCTGTCCGCCCGCCTCCTGCTGTAATCCTGGCATCTGGATTTCAGTCGTAGCATTTTTGCGGGGTCTACCGCGCTTCTTAGGTACATTTTCATTCTGCATTCCAGTCGGAGCCGGAGTCGGCATTACGATCGGCATCTGCTGTCCGCCCGCCTCCTGCTGTAATCCTGGCATCTGGACTTCAGTCGTAGCATTTTTGCGGGGTCTACCGCGCTTCTTAGGTACATTTTCATTCTGCATTCCAGTCGGAGCCGGAGTCGGCATTACGATCGGCATCTGCTCTCCGCCCGCCTCCTGCTGTAATCCTGGCATCTGGATTTCAGTCGTAGCATTTTTGCGGGGTCTACCGCGCTTTTTGGGTGCAGTTTGATTCGGAGTTGCAAACAGAGTTGGTATTTCGATCGGCATCTGCTCTCCAGCCGCCTCCTGCTGTAATCCTGGCATCTGGATTTCAGTCGTAGCATTTTTACGGGGTCTCCCACGCTTCTTGGGTGCGTTTTCATTCTGCACTCCAGCCGGAGTCGGCATTACGATCGGCATCTGTTCTCCACCCGCCTCCTGCTGTAATCCCGGCATCTGCGATTCAATCGTAGCATTTTTGCGGGGTCTCCCGCGCTTCTTAGGTACTAAATTATCTGTTTGTTTTTGGTTTTTCTTGCCATTTTTTCCAGTATCTGAACTGTATATCTTGAGACCTATATTTTCCTCATCTGGTTGTTTCCCTAGCTCAAAATCCGCACTATCCAACCAACCAAATGGAAATTGATACCAAAAGTTTAGGTCTAAGTCATTAATTCCTAGCTCATTGTCAAATGCCTTTAGTTGCTCGTCATCGTCATATTTTGGTAAATTCTTCTCCCAATCTTTTGGTTGGTCTTCAGAGCAAACTAGCAGCTGACAGATATCAGCCGTTTTATATAAATTGACATTGTCGGTTGTTTTATAGCTCTCCACTAGGTTGGGCAAATCAACCAGCTTGGCGTACAACTGATTTGAGTTCACCCAAACCTCAGCGGTTCGCATATCATTATACAGATGAATGGATAATACCTCATTGATATTACCCGCATCTATGGCATCTCGCACAACGTCCGCCTGCCCCTGAATTCAGATATAGAAGATGCAGCATAATGCACAAAACTGCTGGCAGTAATTCTAATTATATTTAATATTTACCACTGGAAAGCGTATTATAAACTGATTTTCCAACTCATCGATTCGCTCCTCATTAAAGAAGGGCAAACTATCCCAAGACATTTTTATTAAAAAAAAAAAATTTTTTTTTCTGAATTTTTTTTCTAGTAATTTTACGAGCAGCACAAATCACACAATGCCCCAAATGGCAAATGACATCTCACTACGAATAGTGTTGACAAACGACAGTTGTATATCGACTAAAGTCAATGAATATGTGATGGACTATTATTCGATTTGCTCTGACAACTTGGGTGCCTTACACAACTCTAAGCCAGGGTATCCACAGTCGAATAGAAATATTCAGCATATGCGTTAGCTTTGACGGTATTATTTTGGGATTTTGCTGGTGCTTGAAATGAGTTAACAGAGAAAATGCCAATCCGACCACACAGAGCCTTGCAGCATATTTGTTGTTCTCTATATTAACTACAGAATTTAACTAATTCTGATTGAGAATATTTTATATAGCTTATTTTGTATATCTCTGCGGTCTAATTAGGCATTTTATTTGTAACTCAGAATTAATAAAGCAAGATACAAATTTCACTCGTAAATGAGTATGAAAACTTTATAGATACTTGGAAATTGTTATTAAAAATTTTATAAATATTCTTTATAAATTTTGTAATAGTCAACTGTTACATTTTTCTTTATTTTTTCATTACTTCATGAACTCAGCGTCTCTCACAGAGCCATTTGTTTGCCATTCATGGATTTCTTAGAACTCCAGCTTTCAAGTCGTGCTGTTCAGGGCTTAGTCCTAGTCCCAGTATCCTCTACTGCAGCAAGCAGTCTGTGTTTTATTAGCACTTCTAACAGATTTCCTTTCGCTTTAAGTCGGAAAATCAGTTCATCACTTCATTGCATAATAAAGAGTCGTGTCTACTTTTTCTTAATATTTTTGAGAATTATATAAGGAACCTATGTTAAATAGTCCACTTGTATTTTATGTTTGACTTTTTTCGGCCTCGCATGTCCCTCTATAATGTATGAATACTTTCCATTTATTTGCATACAAGTTCAAGTTATTTCTATTAATATTCCATTGCGTATTCGCGCGAGAATATATTCCATTTTTAATAACACAAAACTTTATGAAATTTTTATAAATAAAAGGCGAGTGAGGCGCCAACAGCAACTAAAAAAAAAAAAAAAAAAAACAAACATGCCAAAAGGGGCAGCAGCAGCAGGAGGCGGAGACTGAGGCAAACAAATGGGATACAAGGCGAGATCTGCAGATGGGGCGGGACTTCGAGCTGAATCGGTCTGGCCTGGCGGAGTAGAGCCAAACAAAATAAAAAATACAGAAACAAAAAACAATTGAAATGTGAATATTAAATGTACAAGTACAAGATTTGTTCCTCCTGCTGCGGTCTTTGCAGGTGTCGTCCGCCACGCCCCTGCTGCGCCCTCAACTGCGGCAACTCCCTGCGGCGTCATTGTGTGCACTGCAAGTGCCAGCAACAACAACAACAACGGAGAAATAATAATACCATTTGAAGGCAACCACGTCGACTGATTGATGTCGAGATTTGCATGAGTAAACCAGCGGGTCGCCTACCCTTTAAGTCCGCTTTAGAGGCAACCGGCTATTCGTTTAGCCAAATGCTTTAAGCATATTGTTGCCTGATCTCTAAAACGTTTTTTGATTTCAGTTTAATATCCGGCAGGAACATCTATAAATCTACCTTTGTAACTATATATATTTCGAAACATTTTTGAAGTACGTTTGACATTTTATTCCTATATCTATGTCTACCTTTTCTCCTACAGCTAAATGGACATTTCGATGTACATATCTAAGAACCAATTTCAAAGTTTGGCTTGGATAAGTGGCCGGAGTCTGCTGGATTACATGAGCCCTCATAGTCAGCCAGAGCGTAGAGCCTAGAGCCCTAAAATCAAATTGTTAACGTTAACTGAAAGCCTTTCTGCATAGAACCAGACGCCACAATGGAAACTAATTGCAGGCCAAGCAAATTGTTTGCAACATCCTCAGCTCACGTTCACAATATAGAAATATCTGTATGTATATATGGTTATATGGTATAAAAGCCCGGAATATTTTCAGCAGAATATATAGTTCTTTCGCTCTATATGCGTGTGTGTGTGTGCGTGTGTGGGTGTGTGGGTGTGTGTGCCATGCAACGAGGCACATTAATTAAATAAAAATTGATTTTTCAAGCGCCTGAAATCCAATCAACGACCAGCTCCAAGTAGGGACAACAACGAGTGGCTCGCACATAGAGCTATGTCCTGGATCAGCGCATCAGCCTTGTGTAGGAGCAGTGAGCGGCAAGCGGCGAGCAGCGAGCAGCGCACCGCCCAACTCACCACCCACTGCTGCTGGTTGCCAAATGAAGTTAACAAAGTTTACGGTTTATTTTTTATATATATATAATTTTTTCTCTTTTTTGCCTTCGTTCGAGTTTTAATTTTTTTTTTTTTTTTTTTTTATCGTTTGCATAAGTATATAATATGGACATGGGCAGCTATTGTGGCTCTGGATATGCGATGCTTTATCCCATGGCACATAGTGCCACATGCCACATGCGTTTTGTATCGCCTTTAACCATTGGCCACAGTTTAATGTGCGCTGTCGCCCTTTTTGCGGGGCGGCATTTAAACCACAGCAAGTCATCAGGCAAATTGAATTTTCAACGTATGCTAGCATAGTGAGTGTGTGTGTGTGTGTGTGCGTGGCACGCCCACAATTACAATGCCTGACTTAAAGCTCTACTTGTTTTATATAGCACTTATAGCAACTACTACCACCACTACTACGACTACTTCCCCCAGCCCCGAGAGCCGCCGCTTTGGTTCCTGGTCAACGCCATTTGCCGTTCGCTTCTTTCGTTTCTCGTTACAAAATTACCCACGATAAAAATTGAATTACTTCGTCGTGGAGCTGGCTGGCTGGCTGGCTGGCATCACATTCTAGTCTGCCTCCTGGTCATGCCGAGATCCGTGACTTGATGGGCTCTGGGTCGGGGCCCGAGTCCCCTGGATAGCAGCAGCAGCAGCATTGTCGCTGCAAAGTGTTATGCTTACTCTTGACTCGCCCAAAGCCACGCCCGCGTCTCAGCGAACACTACTTAGGCAACGTTGAAACTGTCGCCGAGCCTGCTCCCTGTCTGGGCTGGGTCTGGGCCTGGGTCCTGGTCCTGTTCCTGGTGCTGGTGCTGGTGCTGGTCCTGGTTCAGAAGTCTGCACCTAGCACCCTCTTCTTACACTCTTCTAGCATACTTCTACTCTGTCCCTCTTGTCCTTTCCCTATCTCTGTGTGTGTGTGTGTATGACTTCATCTAATGATAAATGAGCTGCAATGGATGACAGCGAATCAACTTAAGTGTATTGCTCTGCTTCGGTGACACTCCCAACGCCCACCTAACAGCACAGCCAGCCCACCTACCCCTGTTGACTACATGTCCTGCAGGCAAGTCTGTGCCATTGCCTTTGCCTTTGCCTTTGCCGTTGCCGTTGCGCTGTCATCCAATGCACTTTCCCTTAACGCTCTCTGCTTGTGTTTACGTTTCACTTCAAATTTCTATGCTACACTAAATATTTACATAGGAAAAACTTTGCAAGTGTAAGTGAAACGCTTTAAAGATGTTCGAGCACAAAAAGCTGCAAGAAAAAAAAAAAAAAGAAGCTAAAACTAAAACTTGAGCGAATGTTTCGCTACTCATTAACTTATCGGAAACTTCTTTTTTATGGCATGGCTAATTAGAGAGATTGGAATTTAATGATTGCAGCTGGGACCAGCTCGAATGAAAGCAGAGATGCAAAGAGATACAAATTGTTGTCGGAAGAAAAGCGTGACAGCAATCGCATGTGCCAGGCTAAGCTCATGTTACTTGCTAATCAATTTAAGTGCATTGCATTTACATTACTCCCTATACTCTCTCTGTATTAAAGTTGGCTGACTGAAATAAATATTTTTCCAGAAATAAATATAATTCAGTGATCCTTACTGATTATTGTAGTTATTGTTCATTGTTTTATGATTAGGTTAGGCGTCGAATCGGACATCCATCTAACAGATAGATAAGGACATTTGATAAACGACCTTTCTCATGATAATAGACGGAGTTTTATAAGTTGACACACTTGTTATACACGTAAATCAACCAAACACGACTTTCAAAGAGCAATTAACACCGGACTTTATTTTAATTAATGCATATATAAGTTATATTTTATTTGGAAGACTAGTTTTTACAATAAATAAAAAAAAAAAAGTATCTAGTAAGTTATTATATGTTGCGTGTATATATATCGTTGCTAATATCATTGAATTTATTGTGAGATTATATATTTGGAATGTTACAGTTTTCGTTTCTGTTTTTGTTTCAGTTTCCATTCACTTCGTTTCGCAGCGGCTGCTCCAACAGGGCCCCCTACTTGTGCAGGCAGACGGCATCGTTCTTGGAGACGCACTTGAGAAGGCGGTAGTCGAAACGTTCCTTGTTGTCGCAGCGCAGATGGACGAATCGATGTTTGCCGGACTTCTTGATTTCGCAACGGTAATATTTACGGCAGTCGCGCACATCTGGATAGGCATCGTCTTCATCGCATTCGTCTTCGTTTCTTAGCTTTTTTATGACTTTCTTTACAAATTCCCTTTTCTCTTTGGAGCTCAGATCGTCGTTGTCCTCATCTTCGTTGGACTTCTTCTGTTCGCTGTCTTTCTCTTCTTTCTCCTCTTTCTCTTCTTTGGAATCCTTTGGTTTTTTCTTATCTTTTTTGTCATTCTTATCCTCAGATGAGCTGCTAGATTGTTTCTTATCGCTGTCATTTTCCTCATTTGAGTCTTTTGACTTGTTGTTTTCCTTCTTCTTATCTTCCTTTTCTTCTTTCCGCTTATTTTCCTTTTCTTTTTTCTTCTCATCAGAACTGTTTTCATTGGAGTCCGACTTCTTCTTGTCCTGCTCTTTGGACTGGTCCTTTTCTGACTTTGGCTTCTTCTTATCCTTGGGATTCTTTTTGCTCTCTTCAACCGAAGCATTCTCATTAGAGACTGGTCCATCAGACGGTTGCTCTACTGATTCATTTGTCTCCGGCTTTTTGGGACTTTCTGTCGGGGCTGATGTTGGTGCCACTGTGGGAGCTGTTGTAGGCTTCTTAGTTGGACGCCAACCATTGACCCAATCAAGCCAATTAGGCCAGAATGGATTTCCAGAGGGGGTATTTCCACTGTTACTGCCATTGCTGTTGCCCGGCTGCGATGGTCTCTGTGGCCAGAATGGATGTTGCGGAACGGGTCGAATAGGTGGACGTGGATGAACGGGACGGATGGGATGATTCGGGCGCCATGGACTTGGCCATGATCCCGGCCATGAGCCTGGCCATGAACCAGGTCTACCTGGATACACAGGGACTGAAGGGACAGACGGTACGGAAGGATAAGTGGGAGAATTGGGACCAACTGGGGAGTTAGGATCAACAGGACTGTTGGGATTCACTGGGGAGTTAGGGTCAACTGGTGCATTGGGGTCTACTGGTGCATTCGGATCAACTGGTGCGTTCGGATCAACTGGTGCGTTAGGATCCACAGGCGCGTTGGGATCTACTGGTGCGTTGGGATCAACTGGTGCATTAGGGTCAATTGGTGCGTTGGGATCTACTGGTGCGTTGGGATCAACTGGTGCATTAGGATCAATTGGTGCATTCGGATCCACCGGGGCATTCGGATCAACTGGTGCATTCGGATTGACCGGGGCATTGGGATCAACCGGTGCATTAGGTTCTACTGGAGCGTTGGGATCAACCGGCGCGTTAGGGTCCACTGGTGCATTGGGATCCACAGGGGCGTTTGGATCTACTGGAGCGTTGGGATTAACTGGCGCGTTAGGGTCCACTGGTGCATTGGGATCAACTGGTGCATTGGGATCGACCGGGGCATTCGGATCAACTGGTGCGTTAGGATCCACAGGTGCGTTGGGATCTACTGGTGCGTTGGGATCAACTGGCGCGTTGGGATCCACTGGCGCGTTAGGGTCCACTGGTGCATTGGGATCAACAGGTGCATTCGGATCGACCGGGGCATTGGGATCAACTGGTGCATTGGGATCCACCGGGGCATTGGGATCAACTGGTGCATTAGGATCCACAGGTGCGTTGGGATCTACTGGTGCATTAGGATCCACAGGTGCGTTGGGATCTACTGGTGCATTAGGGTCAACTGGTGCATTAGGATCCACAGGTGCGATGGGATCCACTGGTGCGTTGGGATCAACTGGTGCATTAGGGTCAATTGGTGCATTCGGGTCCACCGGGGCATTGGGATCAACTGGTGCATTAGGGTCAACTGGAGCATTGGGATCCATTGGTGCATTGGGATCAACTGGTGCATTGGGATCCACAGGTGCGTTGGGATCCACTGGTGCGTTGGGATCAACTGGTGCATTAGGGTCAACTGGAGCATTGGGATCCACTGGTGCATTCGGATCAACTGGTGCATTCGGATCGACCGGGGCATTGGGATTTACTGGAGCGTTGGGATCAACTGGTGCATTGGGATCAACTGGTGCATTCGGATCGACTGGTGCATTGGGATCCACAGGGGCGTTTGGATCAACTGGTGTGTTAGGGTCCACTGGTGCGTTGGGATCAACTGGGGCGTTTGGATCTACTGGAGCGTTGGGATCAACTGGCGCGTTAGGGTCCACTGGTGCATTGGGATCCACTGGTGCATTGGGATCCATTGGGGCATTGGGATCAACTGGTGCATTAGGATCCACAGGTGCGTTGGGATCTACTGGTGCATTAGGGTCAACTGGAGCATTGGGATCAACTGGTGCATTAGGATCCACAGGTGCGTTGGGATCCACTGGTGCGTTGGGATCAACTGGTGCATTAGGGTCAATTGGTGCATTCGGGTCCACCGGGGCATTGGGATCAACTGGTGCATTAGGGTCAACTGGAGCATTGGGATCCACTGGTGTGTTAGGGTTCACTGGTGCGTTGGGATCAACTGGGGCGTTTGGATCTACTGGAGCGTTGGGATCAACTGGCGCGTTAGGGTCAACTGGAGCATTGGGATCCACTGGTGCATTCGGATCGACCGGGGCATTGGGATCAACTGGTGCATTGGGATCCACCGGGGCATTGGGATCAACTGGTGCATTAGGATCCACAGGTGCGTTGGGATCTACTGGTGCATTAGGGTCAACTGGAGCATTGGGGTCAATTGGTGCATTCGGGTCCACCGGGGCATTGGGATCAACTGGCGCGTTAGGGTCAACTGGAGCATTGGGATCCACTGGTGCATTGGGATCAACAGGTGCATTCGGATCGACCGGGGCATTGGGATCAACTGGTGCATTGGGATCGACCGGGGCATTCGGATCAACTGGTGCGTTAGGATCCACAGGTGCGTTGGGATCTACTGGTGCGTTGGGATCAACTGGCGCGTTGGGATCCACTGGCGCGTTAGGGTCCACTGGTGCATTGGGATCAACAGGTGCATTCGGATCGACCGGGGCATTGGGATCAACTGGTGCATTGGGATCCACCGGGGCATTGGGATCAACTGGTGCATTAGGATCCACAGGTGCGTTGGGATCTACTGGTGCATTAGGATCCACAGGTGCGTTGGGATCTACTGGTGCATTAGGGTCAACTGGTGCATTAGGATCCACAGGTGCGATGGGATCCACTGGTGCGTTGGGATCAACTGGTGCATTAGGGTCAATTGGTGCATTCGGGTCCACCGGGGCATTGGGATCAACTGGTGCATTAGGGTCAACTGGAGCATTGGGATCCATTGGTGCATTGGGATCAACTGGTGCATTGGGATCCACAGGTGCGTTGGGATCCACTGGTGCGTTGGGATCAACTGGTGCATTAGGGTCAACTGGAGCATTGGGATCCACTGGTGCATTCGGATCAACTGGTGCATTCGGATCGACCGGGGCATTGGGATTTACTGGAGCGTTGGGATCAACTGGTGCATTGGGATCAACTGGTGCATTCGGATCGACTGGTGCATTGGGATCCACAGGGGCGTTTGGATCAACTGGTGTGTTAGGGTCCACTGGTGCGTTGGGATCAACTGGGGCGTTTGGATCTACTGGAGCGTTGGGATCAACTGGCGCGTTAGGGTCCACTGGTGCATTGGGATCCACTGGTGCATTGGGATCCATTGGGGCATTGGGATCAACTGGTGCATTAGGATCCACAGGTGCGTTGGGATCTACTGGTGCATTAGGGTCAACTGGAGCATTGGGATCAACTGGTGCATTAGGATCCACAGGTGCGTTGGGATCCACTGGTGCGTTGGGATCAACTGGTGCATTAGGGTCAATTGGTGCATTCGGGTCCACCGGGGCATTGGGATCAACTGGTGCATTAGGGTCAACTGGAGCATTGGGATCCACTGGTGTGTTAGGGTTCACTGGTGCGTTGGGATCAACTGGGGCGTTTGGATCTACTGGAGCGTTGGGATCAACTGGCGCGTTAGGGTCAACTGGAGCATTGGGATCCACTGGTGCATTCGGATCGACCGGGGCATTGGGATCAACTGGTGCATTGGGATCCACCGGGGCATTGGGATCAACTGGTGCATTAGGATCCACAGGTGCGTTGGGATCTACTGGTGCATTAGGGTCAACTGGAGCATTGGGGTCAATTGGTGCATTCGGGTCCACCGGGGCATTGGGATCAACTGGCGCGTTAGGGTCAACTGGAGCATTGGGATCCACTGGTGCATTGGGATCAACAGGTGCATTCGGATCGACCGGGGCATTGGGATCAACTGGTGCATTGGGATCCACCGGGGCATTGGGATCAACTGGTGCATTAGGATCCACAGGTGCGTTGGGATCTACTGGTGCATTAGGGTCAACTGGAGCATTGGGATCCACTGGTGCATTGGGATCAACTGGTGCATTAGGGTCAATTGGTGCATTCGGGTCCACCGGGGCATTGGGATCAACTGGTGCATTAGGGTCAACTGGAGCATTGGGATCCACTGGTGCATTAGGGTCAACTGGAGCATTGGGATCAACTGGTGCATTAGGATCCACAGGTGCATTAGGGTCAACTGGAGCATTGGGATCCACAGGTGTGTTAGGGTCCACTGGTGCGTTGGCATCAACTGGGGCGTTTGGATCTACTGGAGCGTTGGGATCAACTGGTGCATTAGGGTCAACTGGAGCATTGGGATCCACTGGTGTGTTAGGGTCCACTGGTGCGTTGGGATCAACTGGTGCATTGGGATCCACAGGTGCGTTGGGATCGACTGGTGCGTTGGGATCAACTGGTGCATTAGGGTCAATTGGTGCATTCGGGTCCACCGGGGCATTGGGATCAACTGGTGCATTCGGATCAACTGGTGCATTGGGATCGACCGGGGCGTTCGGATCTACTGGAGCGTTGGGGTCAACTGGAGCATTGGGATCCACTGGTGCATTGGGATCAACTGGTGCATTAGGGTCAACTGGAGCATTGGGATCCACTGGTGCATTGGGATCAACAGGTGCATTGGGATCTACTGGAGCGTTGGGATCAACTGGTGCATTAGGGTCAACTGGAGCATTGGGATCCACTGGTGCATTCGGATCAACTGGTGCATTCGGATCGACCGGGGCATTGGGATCTACTGGAGCGTTGGGATCAACTGGTGCATTAGGATCAACTGGTGCATTAGGATCCACAGGTGCGTTGGGATCTACTGGTGCGTTGGGATCAATTGGTGCATTCGGGTCCACCGGGGCATTGGGATCAACTGGTGCATTCGGATCAACTGGTGCATTGGGATCGACCGGGGCGTTCGGATCTACTGGAGCGTTGGGGTCAACTGGAGCATTGGGATCCACTGGTGCATTGGGATCAACTGGTGCATTAGGGTCAACTGGAGCATTGGGATCCACTGGTGCATTCGGATCGACCGGGGCATTGGGATCGACCGGGGCATTGGGATCTACTGGAGCGTTGGGATCAACTGGTGCATTCGGATCAACTGGTGCATTGGGATCGACCGGGGCGTTCGGATCTACTGGAGCGTTGGGGTCAACTGGAGCATTGGGATCCACTGGTGCATTGGGATCAACTGGTGCATTAGGGTCAACTGGAGCATTGGGATCCACTGGTGCATTCGGATCAACTGGTGCATTCGGATCGACCGGGGCATTGGGATCTACTGGAGCGTTGGGATCAACTGGTGCATTAGGATCAACTGGTGCATTAGGATCCACAGGTGCGTTGGGATCTACTGGTGCGTTGGGATCAATTGGTGCATTCGGGTCCACCGGGGCATTGGGATCAACTGGTGCATTCGGATCAACTGGTGCATTGGGATCGACCGGGGCGTTCGGATCTACTGGAGCGTTGGGATCTACTGGAGCGTTGGGATCAACTGGTGCATTAGGGTCAACTGGAGCATTGGGATCCACTGGTGCATTCGGATCAACTGGTGCATTCGGATCGACCGGGGCATTGGGATCTACTGGAGCGTTGGGATCAACTGGTGCATTGGGATCAACTGGTGCATTCGGATCGACTGGTGCATTGGGATCCACAGGGGCGTTTGGATCTACTGGAGCGTTGGGATCAACTGGCGCGTTAGGGTCCACTGGTGCATTGGGATCAACTGGTGCATTAGGGTCAACTGGAGCATTGGGATCCACTGGTGCATTGGGATCAACTGGTGCATTCGGATCGACCGGGGCATTGGGATCAACTGGTGCATTAGGGTCAACTGGTGCATTGGGATCAACTGGTGCATTGGGATCCACAGGGGCGTTTGGATCTACTGGAGCGTTTGGATCAACTGGTGCATTGGGATCAACTGGTGCATTAGGATCCACAGGCGCGTTGGGGTCCACTGGTGCATTGGGATCAACTGGTGCGTTAGGGTCCACTGGTGCATTGGGATCAACTGGTGCGTTAGGGTCGACTGGAGATATGGTAGTAGCTTCTGGACCCACTGGTTCATTAGGGTCGACTGGTGCATTCGGATCAACTGGCGCATTTGGATCCACTGGTGCGTTAGGATTTACTGGTGAATTGGGGTCGACTGGTGCAATAGGATCCACAGGGGCATTGGGATCCACAGGTGCATTGGGATCTACCGGAGCGTTGGGATCAACTGGTGCATTAGGGTCAACTGGAGCATTGGGATCAACTGGTGCATTAGGATCCACAGGTGCGTTGGGATCTACTGGTGCGTTGGGATCAACTGGTGCATTAGGGTCAATTGGTGCATTCGGATCTACTGGAGCGTTGGGATCAACTGGTGCATTAGGGTCAACTGGAGCATTGGGATCCACTGGTGTGTTAGGGTCCACTGGTGCGTTGGGATCAACTGGGGCGTTTGGATCTACTGGAGCGTTGGGATCAACTGGTGCATTAGGGTCAACTGGAGCATTGGGATCCACTGGTGCATTGGGATCAACTGGTGCATTCGGATCGACTGGTGCATTTGGATCCACAGGAGCGTTTGGATCTACTGGAGCGTTTGGATCAACTGGCGCGTTAGGGTCCACTGGTGCATTGGGATCCACTGGTGCATTGGGATCAACTGGTGCATTCGGATCGACCGGGGCATTGGGATCAACTGGTGCATTAGGGTCGACTGGTGCATTGGGGTCCACTGGAGATATGGTAGTAGCTTCTGGGTCCACTGGGGCATTAGGGTCGACTGGTGCATTCGGATCTACTGGTGCGCTGGGATCTACTGGTGCATTAGGGTCAACTGGAGCATTGGGGTCCACTGGAGATATGGTAGTAGCTTCTGGGTCCACTGGGGCATTAGGGTCGACTGGTGCATTCGGATCTACTGGTGCGCTGGGATCTACTGGTGCATTAGGGTCAACTGGAGCATTGGGGTCCACTGGAGATATGGTAGTAGCTTCTGGGTCCACTGGGGCATTAGGGTCGACTGGTGCATTCGGATCTACTGGTGCGCTGGGATCTACTGGTGCATTGGGGTCAACTGGAGCATTGGGGTCCACTGGAGATATGGTAGTAGCTTCTGGGTCTACTGGGGCATTTGGGTCGACTGGTGCATTCGGATCAACTGGCTCATTCGGATCTACTGGCGAATTTGGATCAACGGGTGCATTGGGGTCCACAGGAGCATTAGGGTCTACTGGTGCATTAGGGTCAACTGGTGCGTTTGGGTCCGTCGGAGATATGGTGGTGGCTTCTGGGCTAACTGGTGCGTTCGGGTCGGCTGGTGCATTGGGATCTGCTGGAGCGGTTGGACGAATGGGCAGAAGAGTTGTGCCCTCAGTGCTTTCAGTTGTATTTGGTACAACAGGTGCATTTGGGTCCAAGGGTGCATTAGGGTCAACCGGTGATATAGTTGTTACCTCTGGATCAACAGGTGTGGTAGGGTTAGCTGGCTCACTTGGGTTTACTGGAGGTAATGTCGTTACCTCCGGGAGAGTTGGCTTAGTTGGAGCATTTGGGATATTTGGATCTACTGTTGTACTGGGCTCGGAAGGTGAAATTGTAGTTTCCACTGGTATATTAGAAACAGTTGTTTCGCTCTCTCCCTGTCCAAGCGTTGTTTCAACAATTGGCTGAGCAGTTGTTAGCAAAGGCTCACTAGTAGTTGTCTCCACCGGTTCATTTGTCGTCTCATCGATAGCCGATGTTGTCTCAATGGGCAGCTGAGTAGTCGTTTGCGGTAAAGCTGCAGTTGTAGTGAGAATCACTAAGCCTTCAGTGCTATTGGCAACCACAATGCCTCCAGAGCTAGTCGTGGACTCTATGATAGCCGCTGATGCTCTGCCTCCGGTAATCGGATGATCGGTGACTGTTGTCATCTTGGCAACCGCAGCAGAGGACGCTTTGGGATCCACTTTAACGGGCACACAAATTTCCACGCCTTCATTGATGCAGCGCGTATTGAGTGGACACTGTAGGACACTGCCAGTTGCCACATTCCTTTCACAGAGCTGATAGGATGCTGGTCCAACGCAGATGGCTGGTTGTCCGCCGCAATTGATGCTAATGATCTGCGCACTGGTCTGTACGGCCTGATGCTGGCCATCGAACAGTGCGGCTAACTGTTGAAAATAAGGGTAATAAGGAAAAAAAAAGAAGAAAAAAAAAGAAAGAGAATAAAGAGTTTAGTATGTCTGGGCGATCGGTCGCACTGGTGCACTGTTTGTTACAAGTCGGAATCCCGGGACCGTAACAAATTACACTGGTTTAGTTTCACTTGCATAGGATACTTTCGAGTCGCCGCCGAGTGCTATAAACGATATCCAAAGTAGCAAGAATCCCGGCAGCTTTTGTTAGTTTGTTTGGTTTTAGTCACGCGTATCCAAAAGCCCGTAAAGTTGCCACACAAAATGGTTAATAAAATACAACTCATCAGTAACAGAAACAAAAAGTATTTCATTATTTTCAGATTTTGATTTGAGGTTCTGGCATGTGACGATGTGGGGAACGGGAATATCGGGTTTTGGGTTTTCGGGTGGCGCGTTAGTATAATCTATGTAACAATTACCACAAATAACATCAAAATCTTGAATGTTTTGTTCGTCATCGTCGAGGTGCGTTATGTATTTGGTTCGAATTAAAAATCGTTACTATTCACGGCATGGGCCAGCGAGTCGCTTTTATTCGAAACAAAAATAAACAACTAATGTCATCTGCACTTATCTCTAGCGAATCTGCTTGACGCTATGTAAATAGCCAATGATTATCTTTGTTTGTCCCAGATAAGTTTGCGACCAATTTATGATATTGCAGCTAAAATCTGAAGCGGCCTAAAGCTGTTTGCGGCTGTGAGCTACATATTCTGTTTTCAACAAAACTTGATATTTATTTGTTTTTATTTATTTATTTATTTTTATTTTTTTTTTTTTCTAATAGAAATTTTAAATTTGTAATTTATATATTTGTTATTTTTTCCGCCTCGTTGACGTAATGGAATAAAATGTGAAATTTTTTTAAACAATAAGATTAAATAAGATTTAAAAACAAATAATAATAATAATAATTTCAAACTACGGAAAGCTATTAAATGATAAGCCCAAACTTAGTAATTCTCGTTAGCCACTGTTAACTCAATATGCATCCACGCCAAGTTTGTCTATCAATAGCTGTAGATAAACTACATTTTGGAATTTAGTTAAACCGAAAAGTTAAGCAAATGTTTACAGAGATTACCAACAGCAAACAAACCACAAGGTAATAGTAATAAATACAAGTAGCCATAAACTTACTTCCCCCGGCTTAGTTTAATTGGCTGTGAAGTAGACCTTGGTAGTTTGTTGTAGACAAGAATTTCCGAGTAATTAAAATAATAGCTATGCTCTAGATTCAAATGCCGAATTCTGGGTAAGTTGGTCAAATCCATGAATCACAGCTCGTGCAAATAATAATAATAAAATAATAAACGTTTAACAAACGCTACTATCTGTGCAGGAGCTTCCGATGGTCATTAAGTTAAGCCAATGATGATATTTCACACATTTGTTTAACGGCCGTCCGTAATCTAAGTCTAGAGCTTTAATTTGTGTCTTTTTTTGGAATTTTTTTGTTTTCTTTGATAAACATAAACTAAACAAGGCTGCGCATTTCCTCTTGACAAATTTGCGCTATTTGCCCAAAAAGAGAAATTTGAAGACAAATAACAAACAGGAAAGACAATAATAATGGGGCGCATTGAATGTGAATTACCCTGTAGTAAGTTTAGGAGAATGAACGCAAATCATATTTTTTGCTTAGCTATACCAATTCGAATCAAGCTTATTTGAAAATCAATTAGATTTAGTCGTAGTTGTAGCAACTTAAATGCCATCATTGAAATACCCCATAGAAGTGTATTCATATTGAGAATTTGTTTTCAGCTAGTCCGAGACATGACAGGCCGGATATATGGTTCAAAGTGGATTCCTGCATAGATCATGACTAAGCCCAATTGGCTTATCTGGCAAGTACCGATGCTGATTGTATATCTATGCAAGCTACTGTTTGCCAGCGGGTCTGCAAAGCCCCAGGCAATGACGCAAGCAAAGGTGCTTGGCTTCGAGAGATTTTGTTTTCTCTTTTTTTTTTTTTTTTTTTTTTTTTTTTTTTGTATCTGTTGCGTATGTTTTTGCAAGCTTCACGATAAAGCCGAATGCTGTGTATATCAAAGGGGTGAAGAGGAAGAGCAGCTGGAATCCGCCAGATCAGCAATGATCATGATCATGAATTCGAGTGTGATAAGAGCTAGATTACACATGCGCTGGCTGTCCCCGTAGTGCTTATCGCACAGCTACACGATCCGTCAAGATAAATCAGTCAGTTAGTTAGCTAAAATCCACATATATTTTGAAATCCACGAGCGGTGGGCGTGGTAGGCACATCCCCCTCCCCCGGCTGTCGTTTGAGCTGTATAACACACAATTGCAGCGTGGCATTAGGCATTATTTATGGGCAAAGGTCCAAAGACCTCTTCACCTGGACAATTGACTGAACTAATTGTATGCATAAGCTTAACATCTGGCAATTCCCAAAATCCAGCGACACCCGACACAAATGGCCAATGGGGCTGTGGGCAGGCGGGTAGGCGGGTAGGTGGGTAGGCGGGTGGGCGGACTGAGCTGGGGTCGCTTGCTCGCTTACATCAAACAAAAATTGAACAGCAATTTCGTAGGCGCTTTGCCATGTTTCACATTGTGTATGCCCTTTGAAGCTGGCAGTGCCATCAAATTGTTAAATTAAACGTCTTTTTTAATGTCCAATATCCATTAAAGGAAGTTGAGCGTGGTCATGATGCAGGCGAACGAGATGCAGCCAGGCATGTTCGTTATGCTCTATAGATAGGGCACACAGTTTGATTGATAAATGATAAATTCGATACACGACAATTCACGAATCTGCGAGCGATAATTATCGAAGGCTCTTGTCTCTCTTGATAAGGCTAATTAGATATTGTAAGATCTCATCAATTGTAAATGTATGCATATCTGCTGTTGAAAACAATTCCAGGGTATACGCTGTCAAGTAAATCTCACTCTGAAGAATAAATATACGCCCATTAAGCCGACAGCAATGAATTGTTACTACCTATATTCATATCTGATCTGAAGTCAATTACAGGGTATAAATGTACTCAACCACCCTATATATTTTACTGTAATTCCAGGGTATAAGCTATATTAGCCACTTTCAGTCAAACTCCTTAAAGCCTAAGCATAGTCTAAAGAAGCTAACATAACAAACTAGAGCATCAATCAAATCAGATAGGTATTTATAGGGTATCTGTAATGTGTATCACTGCTACCTGCATTGCATTTGTCCTTTCTTTTTTGCGAGTTGCTTCATTTAATGCGGTTAAGCCATAAAATAAAAACGCAAATGCAATGCAGGCACTGCGGTTTTTCATGTCTAGACAATACAATAAATACAGTTAGCCATATATTTGTATTATCATATGGCGAATATGCGTATGCTGCATGCTGCACACACACACACACACACACACACACACAAATACAGACGATATGCACATACATTAACCGATACATATATTTTATAATTGGCGTCAATTTGCTGGCTTATCGGCTGCCTGCCCGACTGTGGGTGCCACAGAAGTCGCTGCTGCAACATTATGCACAAATGAGACTCATATTGTGCATTTCATTATTTTTATTGAAGAATGCAAGCCATTGAAGGAGAATCAGAGCCAAGATGAAAAGAATTCCGAAATGCTATGTAAAGTTGTATTTTTATCGCACATAAATAAAGATTATCATAGAGAGTTTTCTATTGCAGACAACTGCAACACGGAAGGCTTTAATTGGAATTCGTTTTTAGTATAAAGGAGTCTTTCGATTGGTTGAACTAGAAGTGAAAATTGACTTCTCACTTGTTTAAACTCTTCCCAGCCTAAATCGGAATCGACAAAACTGCAAAGAACTGTTTTTAAATGGAACCTATTGATCTTAAGTAATTACAGTAGAAGTGCAAAATTATCGTTGCTTCAAGGTTATAGCATAAAGATTATGTTTTCCAGATTACGAACATTGAGAGAATAGAAATTGAATGCTTTCCAGGCAATAATGGACCGCATCTTACCTACCTGAAAAGGACTCTGCCTGTCTAATTCAGTTTAAAGCTCGTTCAATGCATTTTACTAACCTTTTCTGATCTTCTGATCTCTCCTGACTCCACTCAAAACCAAGGATCTCTAGTATATCTAATCTTATCTCAGTCTTTTACCAAATGTTTTACTTTTCTTCCTATATCCCTAAGGGACTCTGATTCATCTTTAATCTGCATTAAACGGGCATATATCTTTAGTATCTAGTCTTACCCCAGTCTTTTTCCAATTCCCAATCAAGTTGCACCATTGAGAAATTACTCGAATGTCCATTTGTTTGTCTACCTGTTGTGAATATCAAACCCTTTCACCTGTATGCATGGCAACAGCTCCTGCTCTGCTCCCTTTCTTCTACTTCTTCTTCTTCTCCTTCTTCTTGCATATGCCGTAGAGCTTTTTTGGCGCAGCTCTACGCATTTCTGGTCGCGCCCGGCGCCCAGCTAACGGCCTCATTTTGACTGGCAATCAGGCAAACAGTCGACGTGCTAATTCGTTGCGCACCCAGTTGAGCCTCTGGCAGCCGGATCTGTCAGTGTCCCCAGTGTCGACAAAAATGTAACCAGCACACTGGCACACACACACACACACACACACACACATACACATGCAGTTGCTTGCAATTGAGGCAAAGGCGCGTTGCCTAGCAAAATGGCAATTCCCCCCCATTGCGCCCTCCTCATGCCACACCCACTATTTGGGCTCCAAATTATGCAAGTCGTGTCGGTGGCTCTGTCGCTGGTGCTGCAGCGCGTTAATGTTGTTGGCGTTGCGGCCGCGGCTGCGGCGGCTGCTGCGGCTACCAGTGCAGCGCTCGTGCCTCATTGGCGTTGCACAAAGCGGGCGGCGGTGGCTAAATTTGCATAAATTAACAATGTTTCGCAATTGCAGCCACTGATGCAGCGAATTCTTGTGACCAGCCAACCAACCCAAGCCCCAGCCCATCTACCCGCACATCAAGCATGTGTATGCGTCTGTGTGTGTATGTGTGAGTGTGTGTGTGTGTGTGTGTGTGTGTGTGTGCGTTGTCCACCATGTGCAATGTGAGCGTTTTATTGATTTGATGCTCCAATGCACTTATTATCCCTCAAGCAGCCAGCGCCAGTTAATCCCATGACGCTGTGGCGCCATTTTACATACAAACACACACACAGACTCACTCACACACACAGGCGCACGTTTAAATGTATGTATATTGGGGTGTGCCCAAAAAGTTGGTCAAGTGTGTGCAGTAGAAGGCTCATTAGTCAAGCCAAGTGGAATTGGTAATGCGTACATTTGGAATTAGCGTAAATTGTGTGGTGGGAGGGGCGGGAACGGGAGGCTACGACGTGGACTCCACAGATTGTATGAGGCGTAACACTCACTTTTAGTAATATTCCAATAAATACAAATTAACAGGCATTTATTTTTTAAAATGCTCAGCTAGAGCGACCTAAGATATATGTATGTATGTGTGTACACATGTATGTGTGTATGTACATGTGCATGTGTGTTTGTGTTTGTGTGTGTCGAACACAAAGAGTAAAATGAGGCTGCAGCCAGTTGTTCAATGTTCAATGTTAACTACTACAGGCGCTAGATGGCGTTTCGTGCCAATATATTAAACGCCTGCTAAGCAAAAATAACAAAATTACCACAAAAGAAAAAACACTGAAATACCTGAAAAAAATAAAAAAATAATAATAATAATAAGAAAGAAAACTTATACAAATAACAGAGATCTATCTAAGCCAAAATAATATTTAATTTTGGCGCACTTCAGCGATCGCCAGTAACAGCGTACTTGGCTTACCGTTGTCAGTGTGACCAGTCCGCGTTGTTCAACTAAAGCTAAGTAATTTGCAAACATTTATTTTCATTACTTTCTACTTAGATTTCGAGTGTGTGAAAGTGTGGAAATGCCATTCATTTGCAGTGTGAGTGCCTTGCAGTGGGTGCATTGGCCTTGGCCTGCCCGCCAGCCAAGTGTCTCACTCAATTCAATTTGCATTCGAGCAACCAGAAACGAATTTTCAGTATAATGCTTCAATAGATACTGCAGCAATGGCTGCAGCTTCCAACTTGAGCTACAGCCGGACTTTGGTAGCTCGTTCGCCTTGTCGTCATCATCATCAACATCGTCATCATCATCATCATCATCATCATGGTAGTCCTTATTTGTTTATGTTGCACAAAGTAAACAACTAATTTTAATTTGCCGCAGGAGCCGCAGCCAACGACGACGTCGACGACGACGATGAACAAGCCAAAGCAGCGGCAGCAGCAGCAGCAGCAGCAGCAGAAGAAGAAGAAGAAGAAGAAGATGTCGCCAGTCGTTGGGCAAGGCACTAACAAAGGATTGGATCAGTCGAATTAAATAAAGGGAAAGAATCACATACACACATACACATACACAGACACACACAGACAGGCACATTGTAATCGCAAACAAGCAAAGCATATTTCTCTTCCTCTCACGCTCATCCCCTCTGACTCATTCGCTCTCTCTCTCTCTCTCTCTGTCTCTGCCTCTCTCGCTCAGTCTCTTGTGAACGTTTCTTTTTGTGCATTTTGTTAGTTTGCATTTTGTTTTGACGTTTCATTTATGTAAATACGAGCAACAATAACAAAACGACAACTACAAACGGTCGCCCAGTCAAATTATCTTTAAATAATTTAGATTTGTGTGCGCGGCAGGGGCGTTTTGAGTGTGAGTGGGCGTGGCCTGCTGGCCATAACGTAAATGCAAAGTCAACTCGGCGAAACTTTTGCTGATGATTTCAGATTCTGCTCCTTATTTTTTTATACCTTTTGCTGGCTAAAGGCCAGAACTGTGTGTGTGCGTGTGTGTGTGTGTGTGTGTGTGCTGCTGAGTCTGTGTCTGTGTCTGTATCTGTGTCTGTGACTGTGACTGTGTGTGCATGCGTGTGCTGAACATCATGAAAGCGGAAACGGAAGTGCTTACCTTTAGCACACACACATGCACATGCACACAGATACACAGGGCCGGCTATCCAGGCATACATTATTATACATGGCATGCAAAAATTCTGCTGCGCCTTCAAGTGCTCCCGAAACTCACGACCAGAGGGGCATGGTCGGCCAGCCCTGCTGGTAAACTGCCGCACACACACTCTCCCACACTATCGCACACACACACACACACACACACACACGCATATGCAGTCAAGTGAGCTTTAAAATATGTCCACAGGTGCAGAGGCTGAAACTGGGGGCTGGAATTGACTTTCAGCTTTTGACTTGTGTGCAAAGCGAAACATACACAAAATTGCCTTTGCCCGAGGGTAGATCAAACTGTTTAAAATGCTGAGCTTAAATTATAAATATCGTTAAATTATAAATTATAAAAAAATAATATTTATATAAATTATAGAGTATAATAATTTTTTACAATATATAAACATATATTGTATATAATTTATTTTAAATTCAAACAATTTGTATTATATTCAGAAAGCTGTCCAAATTTATGTTTGTTGAACAGATTAAGATTTTTTTAAGAAAAATAATATAGCGGGAACAAATGTAGACAACAATCCAATAATAGATTTTGAATGTATAAACGAATTAAATAATATTCAATTTCCTCTTTATTTTAGATCTAATGGAACTTTACAAATTTCCTTCGTAATGTTTGGTCTGTTAGATCTCTGTTGCTTTCACAAACATATCAAGGTATCTGTTACGCATCTCACCTTTTCATGCGGCTCCACAGTAAGTTCATTTCAATTACTCCTCCACATTCACTTTATTATTCAATCCAATCAAGTCCAGCAGGCCGACTCAGTGACCGCCCTCAGCACTCACCCATACCAGCTTGGTCATTTCGGGCTTTGCCTGAATTTACCCCACAATTAGCCAGCAGACGCTGCCGCAACTTCTCGCTCGACCCTCGCATTGTAATTTGAATTCTTGGTCTGTTGCGTTTACTGCAAAAGGCTAATTGAAATTTGCCATTAATAATGCAAAAAGGTCTCGGTGAGAAACTTTTAGGTCCACCCACATGGCACACTACACACACAAGCCCGCGGAATGTGACAGTGTGTGTCCGTGTGTGTGTGCATCTGTGTTTGCATATGTGTGCGTGCTATTTTAAATATTTCAAATATTTGTAACATTTGCCGCTGCCGCCACTCAAGTAACCAAAAGTATACTACACACACACACACACACACATACATATATATACGGTTGCGCACATACAGTGAGCCCGGCTATCCACCCAGCCACCGCCCACAATGTCAGCCCCGCCATTTACCGCACGCCAAAAACATCAACGGCGAGAAGGTGAATGCTTATTTTCTGGTCCGTCAGCCGCCGGCTGATGTCGACGTCACAGTCACCACATGTAAAAATGTTACCCACCTGCGCTAACCCCAACCCCGATCCCCCAACTCAACCGCCCACCCACTCGGCTGAGATTTACCTGCTGCTTCTGTATGCCTGTTGACTGAGGTCTGCCGGCCCCTGCTGAGCGTGGGGCTGCTGTGCGAGCTGTGCCGTGATTTCGCGATCTAAAAAGTGGAGGCGTGCGGTAGGCGTGGCAACCGTTGGCCAAAGGACGCGCAACAACAACAAATGGTAGCGGGAAAACAAAGCAAAACAATCTGATGATAAAGATGAAATGGTATAAAATACGAATTGCTGCAGCTGGGGCTGGTGCAAAGATAGCGCCGTGTAAAGGGCGTCGGCCGCTGAAGCAGCCTATACCCCCGCAATCCAGCACCACAGCACCCACGCACCCTCCACACCCCGCACACATACCCACACCCAACACACACCCCCAGCACACACATGAGTGACAGGAGATACATGTGTCGCGGAGTGTTGAGTGAGTGGCAATGGAAAGATTCGTCTATATTGGGTTTATGCAGAGAGTACCACGGCCTTCAACATGGGGGCTACAACTGTCTTCAAATGTCAGCCGAATACGCTACAAAGCGGCTCTAACGAATCGATTAGTACGTTGGCAATAGAGATATAAGATAAGGTAAAGAGAATTGAAGAGATATGATAGACGATAGATGTCAGAGTGTAGAGAACACAGATTAGAGGGAAGGAGACAAAAGGTAAAGGACAAGGATATAGGATATATGATATAGGATATATGATATAGGGTATCGGATATCGGATATATAGGATATCGGTGATAAGATATAGAATATGGGATATAGGATATAGGATATACGATTTACGATATACGATATAGGATATATGATATAGGATATCGGATATCGGATATATAGGATATCGGTTATAGGATATAGGATATGGGATATACGATATACGATATGGGATATGGGATATAGGATATGGGATATAGGAAATACGATATAGTATATATGATATAGGATATAGGATATGGGATATGATAGACGATAGATGTCAGAGTGTAGAGGACACAGATTAGAGGGAAGGAGACAAAAGGTAAAGGACAGGGATATAGGATATATGATATAGGATATAGGATATAGGATATATGATATCGGATATCGGATATATAGGATATCGGTGATAGGATACAGGATATGGGATATAGGATATAGGATATAGGATATACGATTTACGATATACGATATACGATATAGGATATAGGATATATGATATAGGATATAGGATATATGATATAGGATATCGGATATAGGATATACGATTTACGATATACGATATAGGATATATGATATAGGATATCGGATATATGATATAGGATATCGGATATAGGATATACGATTTACGATATACGATATAGGATATATGATATAGGATATCGGATATATAGGATATCGGTTATAGGATATAGGATATGGGATATAGGATATAGGATATACGATTTACGATATACGATATAGGATATAGGATATAGGATATATGATATAGGATATCGGATTTCGGATATGGGATATGGGATATGGGATATAGGAGATAGGATATAGGATATGGGATATAGGAAATACGATATAGTATATATGATATAGGATATAGGATATGGGATATGATAGACGATAGATGTCAGAGTATAGAAGATACAGATTAGAGGATAGGAGACAAAAGGTAAAGGACAAGGATATAGGATATATGATATAGGATATCGTATATCGGATATGGGATATGGGATATAGGATATAGGATATAGGATATAGGATATGGGATATGAAGGAGACAAAAGGTAAAGGACAAGGATTTAGGATATCGGATATAGGATATAGAATATAGGATATATGATATGTGATATAGGATATACGCTATAGTATATATGATATAGAATATCGGATATAGGATGTAGGATATAGAATATGGCATATAGGATATATGATATATAAATAGGATGATACATGATATAGAAAATATATCTAAATAGATACAAATATAGTATCGCTATCAATATAGCCGTTACTTTAAATTGCAGCGCATTCAAATTTCAACCGTGATTTTGTTTCCATTCTTGTAACTGACTGGCATCACTTTTTTTACAATATTTTCTTTTTTTAAAGTATTTTTGGCTGATGTCGTTTCGCTTTTTTATTATTTATTTCACTTTTTATTTTGTTGATTGTTTTACAAAACAACAATAACAACAACAATGGCAAACGAATGCCAAGCGCCCTTTTGAGGAAGGTGGCCAGAGCAGCAGGCGTTGGGGTGGGGCTTGAAGTTAGCAGGGGGCGGGAGATGTTCTGGCGAGGCAAATGGAAAAAGAATCTCTCGAGGCTACTAAAAACTCCGGTTCTGCTTGCTTGGTTGCTTGTGCTTTCTTTCTCTCTCTTTCATTTTCTGCGGCATTCATTCAGTTGTGTTTTGGCATGGTTTGGGGTTTTGTATTTTTCTTGGCCAGTTATTTCTTATGCTGCTTGGTTTTTAGCTTTGCGCCTTGGCGGATTCGTTCTGTCCTTTTCCCTCGGCCCGCCGCCCGTTTCGAATGATTCACGGCCTTCCACACTCGAGGCAATGTCGTATACGTTACTTCTAGTTGGTGGCTTAAACACATGAAACAATTATAAAGTTACCAAGAAATGTAAACCCAAAGAGAAAACAATTTAATTGAATTTAAGCAGGGGTTGTCATATCCTAATGGATTTAAAGCAACAACAACAACGTCTTGCAGCAAAAAAAAAAAAAAAAAAAAAAAAAAAAAAAAACTACCAAAACAAAATACAAATAAAACATAATACATAAAAAATGAACAGAGCCCAGTTCCAAATGGGGGAAGTACACAGAATTGAGCTTTTGAGTGGGTAGTAAAGATACATATGAATGCATATACATGTATATGTATGTATGCTCACATGTATGTATATTTGTGGGGTGGTGTGTGTGTGTGTATGTCTACATATAAAACTTGTATGTGCACCACTAAATGGATGTTCGACCTTTTGTTCGTGTCGGCCTGAAGGAGTATAATTTGGTTGCTTGTCTGTTGAATATTTCAAGTAT